TTTACGGCCTGCCTATCCATATCCTTCGCGACGTGGTCGTCACTATCCGTTCTTTCGGCCGACGGATAATGGATTTCGTCCGCTACCGCAATGCGACCCGGGATATGAACGAGCGCTACCCAGATGCCACGCCTGAGGAGGTAGCAAGAGAAGATGTCTGTATCATTTGTCGTGAAGAGATGGCTCATTGGCAGGAGCCTGCGGGCGCTGGTGAAGGCGGGGCAGCACCTGCTCAGCCAAGGCCTCGGATGCCCGAAAGGTTACGTCCAAAGAAACTCCCGTGCGGTCACATCTTACACTTTTCTTGCCTTCGGAGTTGGTTAGAAAGGCAGCAGAATTGTCCCACCTGCCGACGCCCCGTCATGGCGCCTCCGCGTGACCGCGATCACCCGCCCGGAAATATCAATCTTGGTCAAGGCAACGGTGGCGCCGGTCCGCAACCAAATGTGCCGGCTGGCAATCAGCCTTTTGGCCAGAACGGACCGGCTGATAACCTACCGAGAGCCCGTATATTCCAATTTGGACCATTCCGGATTGGCTTTGGAGCTGGTCGGGGCGATCTCTTCCGCAATTTCCACCAACAAATTCATCAGGGCAATGTCCCGGCGCAACAAGCGAATAACGCAATCCCGCCCGGTGCAAGGCAGATTGGTTTCGGGCTCGGTTTCGGACGACCAATCCCAGCGCCAGTGCCGCAAGCTCTTCCGACAAATACGCCATCGAACTTTGTGCAAATGCAGAATCAGCTTCACCAGATTGAGCTGCAGATAATGCAGGAAATCAACAGCCTCCGTGTGACTGCCGAACAGTTGCATCATGTGCGACTGCTTCAGGCGGAGCTACAAAGACTTCGCAATCCGCCTGCAGCTTCCAGCGACCCGAACACCACCATATCCCCAGCATCTACTTTCCAACCTTCTTCGTCTTTGTCGGCTACCTTACGTCGGCAATTCAACTCGGATCCTCAAGCCTCGGCCATTCCATCCGGCGATTCTCGACTCCCAGAGGGCCTTAGCCTCCCGGAAGGCTGGTCTCTCATTCCCCTTCAATCGGCCGGACAGGGTCCAAGCGGTATCTCGAGTCCAATTCCTACAACTGCTCCAGAACCTTCCCCCACGGTGCAGGTGCGTGAGGAGCCCTCTTTCACTGAGAACTCGGCGCCGGCAGCGAGTATGAATGGGAAAAGCTCGGGTACAGTTGATGCAGCCAGATCCACTACTTCCTCGCTGCCTGACTGGGGTTCGGAAACTCCAGCGACAGCAACGCATTCAGATATCGAATCATCGTCTCGGAATTCGGGCAAGGAGGTCTTTGGGGAGCCGCCAGAAAAGAAGGAATTGTCTGCATGGGATAATGAAGCCACAAATGCGGACGAATCACCAGAATCTTCCTCCTCGAAGGGCAAGGCCCGCGTGGTGACAGTTGAGGATGCTGCGGACGAGGAGGCTTGAAAACCTGACTGCCTATCCCACTGTTTTGATATCTCTTCATGGTGCATATTCCTCTGCAATGTTGTTTTATGGCGTTCTTGAGCGATTCTGAATCATACCCGGGTTTGTTGTGAGTATATACCATCATATGGCAGCGCTTCTCATGTACTAAGAACATGATACTTCTCTCTCCACTACATGATCTAATGATGTTAAATTCTGTTTCTGAGCGTTACCATGGAACGCTGCAGAACCTGAATGTCTCGTCCTGTCTTTGTACATAACCTTACCTTCTACGTGCTGAAATATTGGTCTGCTCATCCCAAGTGTTGCACTCTTGTATACGGAAGCGTGACACCTCTGGAGATGGAAGTTCTATCGGCTATGTGAGAGTATCTCAAACGCATCGCAATGCTCGAAACAGAACCGATCATTGATTCAGGCTTATCGATCTTTCTGTCACCCCCTGTTGAGGCACAACAAAAGTAAAAGGGTACTGAGTATCTAGACTAGATATTCATATTCTGGGGATACCCTGGGAATGGCGTCCACCATTCCATTCCTGCAGATCAGGGGCAAGATCGCTCTGCTGCTCCAATAAGACTCTCAAGCTAAATTAACCTCGCCGACATAACCCGCCATTTAAGGGCCTAGCCCGTGTTTCACTTTTGACCACTTTGTGACCGTGAAAGGAACTGGGAGGTCGGATGCTACGAGTAATCTCTTTCATAGAGAGTATCTATGGTCTGTCCTAGCACTGAGACTCTGATATCGAGCTGGTGAGAACACTAAACGTCTACCCTTTGCAGTTTGGGATTAGGACATCATTTCTCCCTCCGGAGTAACCGGCCTCCTCGACCCTGCGTCGTCACCACTGATTACGCGGGCTCCACCTCCGCCCGGGTTGGGGAACAATGCGCCAATCTTTTGCATATTGGTCTGTGTGAACACCTATCATTACTAAATTCTTGATTTCTATTCAGCTCTGTATTTTTCTTTTGAATTCAAGTCAATTTCTTTCAGTCGAATTTCGCCCTGGTCGCTGCTTTGAGGCGTTCTGTATGCCAGCTTGCGGCTACTGGCTACAGGCTACTGGAGTCTTATCTACGTATTTGCGCCGCTGAGATCGCAGGCCTCTGCGTTTCGCTTCTGGAGCCGGATTATTATTCTCCTCATAGCTGGTTCTTGGAGCCTTGTGAGTGAGCCCATGATCTGCTCAGTGTCTTGAACTGGCCGGTGAGTCGTGAATCTCCCCTTTGGCGCCCCTTATACATCTTCAGGGGCATCTAGACGGGTTCTCTTGCGCTTTTGCTGTGCCCGACTTTCACCGCGAGTATATTTCAGAAACTGAGGCTAATGAGTGTACCCGAGATGGCTGTGACAGCCTACTCTAGTCTCCTTTCTTCAATCTGTATAGTATTCCATATCTTCTTCGATGATTTCCTCACGGCGAGCGGTCCCCCTCCTTGGTCTTGCCTTTTTCGTCATCTTCCTCTACACAATCACTAGTCTCTCGAGACAATGGCGGCGGACGCCAGAGGCCGTGGGGTTGGGAAAATTGGTCGCGTCACCTAGCCCGATACCATCCGGACTTTTGAACATAAGCTTGGTGGAAAGCCGCCCGTCCCGGACACCATACGCTCCCCGGCCGCAATATGTGCCTGGTATCCCCAAGCCCGACGGAGCCGAGTACACGAAGATGCTCGTCGTGCCGAAGACGCAGAATGAAGATACGAATTGGATCTCGGCCGAGCTCCCCGATTGGCAGTCGGCAATCTATGTTGTCGATGACCCGTCGTCACCCCTACATCCGCCGAAGAATAAGGGGCATGAAGTGATGGTCTATCTGAGCTTTATCATCGAGCATTACGACAAGCTGCCGGATATTGTGGCGTTCATGCACTCACATCAGTTCGCCTGGCACAACGAGGAGATATTTGGTGGCGATGCGGCCGAGATGCTGCGTCGCCTGAATGTTGCGCGGGTAGTCCGGGAGGGATACATGAATCTGCGGTGTATATGGGAGCCCGGCTGCCCTGACTGGATGCATCCCAGTAACCCAGAGGACAACGAACAGAAGCAAGAGGAGACGATGCTGGCGCGGTCCTGGGGGGAGATCTTCCCGGACGACCCTATTCCACAGGTCCTGGCGCAGCCCTGCTGTGCTCAGTTTGCCGTCTCTCGGGAGCGAATCCTGGCTGTCCCCAAAGCGCGTTTTGTCTTCTACCGAGATTGGATTCTCCGGACAGAACTAAGCGACTACATATCAGGCCGTATTTGGGAGTACCTCTGGCATGTGATTTTTACTGGTGAACACATCGTCTGCCCCGAGGTTCATGTTTGCTTCTGTGATGGCTACGGGCTCTGCTTCGGAGGTAAAGAAGAGTACGAGGCCTACCGGAGTTTGGGTCATGAGAAAGAGGAATTGGAAGATGAGCTCAAGAGATGGAAATCCCAGGCCCAGACTGTCGAAATTGCTCGAATGCGTGGTACCCTGGGAGAAACGAGTCATCTCAATATCCCGGAGCCCGGGAAAGATCAATCTCTACAGGAGAAAATCTATGAGAAAGAACAGAAAATCAACGAGGTTCTCTACAATGCCGCCGAGCGTGGTATGGACCCCAAAGCTCGGGCCTTGGAAGCAGGTAGAAAATGGACCGAGGGTGACGGTTATTGAGGGTCAGATATCTTCATTTGTTTTGCAGTAGACTCCAGAACCTCCTCGCACTTCTGCAGGCAGAAGAGAGGCTGTTGCAGGGGATATACTTGAACATTTGCACCATTTACATTCGGTCTCGTATATGATTGTCGATCTGAGTCGGCTCTGGAGTTGTCAAATAGAAAGTGTACTTTATCTAAGATAGTCAGTTTCTGTAAAATGCCGCTTGCTGTTTGCCTTGCGATCTTCTTGTCGATTCTTTACTCACCTATCTCATGATCAATTGGCATGGTCATGTGACCATTACGGATTATCTTGCCCTCCGAAACAGCTCCTTGTTCTCGTGCAGAGTTTGCATTGTCTGTCCTCTCTTCAAACCGCGCAAACAGCGTCATCTCAGCTACAATCTGATTGATTCAATCAACTTATCGCGATTCGCGAAGTACACATAGTGGGAAGCTTTAGCTCCCTAAGCTCAGTCCACTTTTGATCCTGATCGTTTTCCAAGCTTCTTTGTCGCCCCGTCAACAGCCGGCGACACTGACTGAAGCGACGTCACACATCGCAAGGGGACGAGGGCTTTACAATTCGCGCGAAACGGTCATAGGTTGCCTAGCTATGGGCCGATCTTTTTGACGGAGGCTTTTCTTTGGAAACTTAATTTAATTGCGACCACTTTGTCTTCAGGTCGTATCGGAAAAGATACTCATTCCCTCGGTACAGGAAGACTGCCGTCCAGGCTGCGAAACAGATTATCAGTCGCAACGTTCGGTTTACGGGCTTCCCTTGACACTGTCATACACCCCCGCGCCCACCAGTCGCCGTACCTCAAGAACACTTCCACATCAGCTCCTTCCTCATCGAGCAGGGCGAATCCTGACCTTGCGACCAACCTCGTACTCAAAATCGTCATGACGTCCACGTCGACGCCCAACCACCAGCATCCTCCCGCGACTTCGGCCTCGGAGTTCTCTAATCAGACACCTCATACCTCTCACGTCGATTCGCATGCGCATCTAGCGACCAGCGGATATGCCCCAAATGACAATCAGTTAGCTGGTTTGGTGGAAGCCGCGACAGCAGCGGCCGGTCAGGACGTTTCGGAATGGGCCGCAGCGGCGGCCGTGGCTGCAGCGGCCGGAGCAGCCGGTCATCAACATCACTTGGATACCTATGGTCCGGAAATACACATTGAAGACGACGGCTTCGGAGATGGAAGTTTTGGGGCAGGAATGAGTGCAGGTAGGCAGCTACGCGGATCAGGGTCGGCTTCGGTCACCGACCAGGGCCAGTCGTCAGGATTGTCAAGATCGGTCTCCAAGAAACGGAAAAGAGGAGAGGATGCACTTGATCCGGCGTTGACAGCCACCGGTGGAGTAGGCCTTCCTGGTGGTCCGCAGCAATCGCAGCAACAGCAACAACACCATCTTCACCCGCCTTCTCACCATTATGATGGAGACAGCTTAGATATTAGAGCCGTCCCGCCCCAATCTCTGTCTGACGCTCGAGCCGCTGGCGTTCATTCCGCCGCTGCACTTTTCCGCCAACCTTCCAGTAACAAGAAACACACTCGTCCGCCAATGTCAAAACTCTTCGCCTCTCTGGAACTGTCGCCGGAAAACTTCTTGCATTTACAAGCGGCCGCGAAAGCTTATATGCTCGATCCTAAACATCCGGAGAGACGGGAATGCGTTGGCCAGCGGGGCAAAGGTGATACTGAAATGGTTAAATTAAGGCTGTGGAACTGTGTGCGCCACTTCTTGGAGGTCGAAGGGAACGGAGAACGGTTCTTCGGCGAGAATGTCGTCAACGAAGGCATGGGTCCGAGGTCTTACATCTGGCCGCGCGACCAGCAGAAAATCATTTCTTTGGTGATTCCCCTACTCCGGAGAATGGTTACCAATGAACGCCAGCGACAATATGCTGTTGAAACGCGGAAAGGAGGCGGCGCTGATGAGCGAAGGAGACGGAAGACGAATGAAAGCTTTCAGACCTTCACTACCAGCGCAAGTCCGCCGAGGTTTTCCTCTGACGGGCAGCTTCAGATGCACCCTCAACATCATATGCCAGAAGAATATTCTTCATCGCAGGTCCCCATGCCACCACCTCAGCCCCAAATGGACTCGACATCACAAAACATGGAGCTCGGCCTGACAGATCTTCTACTCGACGGATACACGCATGACTGGAATGTAATTCACAAGACATATGATATGTATAATCACGACTTTGAACTCGATAATCTATGGTATCTTTCGGGTCTCCAGCAGCCGGACTGGCGAGGTTTGGTTGCCGCAGTCGATAGTCACTACCAGGTCGTTCATGAGGGCGGCTACGATTGCACTGCGCCTTGTGAGGATGAGAACATACATCGCATCATAAATGCGGATGTCACGTCGGATCTACGCTGGCGAATCGGCGGCAACCACAACCCAACTGCCAGAAATGAATTGTATGTATACCTACTCCTCGTTATCATCTCGGGACAGGTACGGCGACTGACCCCCTTACAGTGCAAGCAGCATCACCCGTGATGTTTCGCGCATTATTCGCGACAACTTGGCCGCTAAGCAAGGTGTTCACACTTCTACTCATGACCATGATCCGATGCCGCAACCTCAGCTCTTTCCGCCACCGCAGTTTCCCTCCGTGTCAGGAAACGCAAATACCAATGCACATAGTTCCATCTCTGCACCTCCGAACTCCGTCTATCTTCGTATAAATATCATGCAGCAAGGAAAACGTATCCTTCCTCGCCTTGATGTATCCGCTGTGCAGTGTCCCGATCTGGAGACGCTAAAGCAGCTCATCTCTCGTCGATTTGCAGGTCAATTGCCGGGCCTACCTTCCGATTCTGCCATGGATGCATCGGGGGGCTCATGGAGCTCTTCGCTCGGTTGGAAGTTCAAGGCTTGGCTTCCCGATGGGTTGGCCGCAGTACAGAACGACGGCGACTGGACAATGGCCCTTCTTTCAGCTGGTAATGTGGACTGGATGGATGGCGATTTGAAAGTTCTTGTGGACCTAGAGAGCACATAAGCGGATTCATATCGACGATTTCCTTTCTATTGCCTTCTATTCCTTCTCATGCGTTCGGCCCGGCTGCAGTGATTCCGCCTCCTCGTCATTCAGGGATTGACGTGGTGTGTCTGTTTGAGGAATCCGGTACGTTGTCTTGATGCTCTGGGGGTTATTTGCATGGCTTTCTGGTGGCTTTCATACCCTTGCGTTTTCAAGCATCACTCATGACTTTGGCTTGCCGTTCCATTTTGCCGATAATACTTTTCCTTTACCCATGATACCTTGTTCATGTACAAGTACTTTTACCCTTCGCCATCGAAATGATACCTCGTCTTACTTGATTATCATCGTCACACTCCTAGTTGAGTGCATTTCACGAAATAGATTCCAATAGTACTCTGGTTCCTAGACTATTTGCCATAACCGTTCCTCGATCGCTCCTAGTCAGGCTAGACCTTTGCAGAGCCAAACACCAAGATAGGTAAGGACCAGGCCGAAGTCTTACATTGGTTGCACCTGGCCGCGGCCTTATAGACTGATCAACTGCCCTGCTCCTTGACCATGGCCAGGGGGAGAGCAAGATACCTCACGACCATCCATTTTTAGGTGGTCCGCGAATTTACTGCTCGACTATTTGCCCTGGTTGATGGGCTTTTGTTTTTACTATATGCCTTTAGCTGATAAGTCTTGCTACTTATCGTTACTAACAGAAATCGCTTCTATGGTCTAGTGGTTATGACTCCGGATTTTGAGCATTCGCTGAGTCTTCCGGCAACCCCGGTTCGAATCCGGGTAGGAGCTTTCTTTTTTTCCTCTCCCTCTCTTTTTGGGTATGTGTCCGTCTTTGAGGATTGTGTAGATTTTTTTTCCTCTTCTTCTCCTCTTCTTCTCCTCTTCTTCTCCTCTTCTTCTCCTCTTCTTCTTCTCTTCTTCTTCTCTTTTCAGTTGGTTATTTGCTAGAAGCTGGCGTGGGTTGTCCTGTCATGGTGATGCCTTTGAGGGTTATATATATATATCTTGGACGGGGTTGATCACGCTGATCGGTAGCTTGCCCCCAGGTGTGCGAACGCTCAGGGACCCATTAATTCTAGTGGTCTGCAATGGTTGGTTGTACGATCGGACTACAGCATTCATCCCCTTAAGCGAGCAGGGACAATTATATTCAAGTTAGATTTGATATTATCTACTGAGTCCCAGATCATGGTAGGGAATGTGCACGATGTAATTGAAGCACCGTGGCTTTTCCACAATGTTACTGCCCAATGTATGTGCCCGCTAGACCAGTTCTGCGTCCATTACCGAGGCCATAAGCCTCTCAGCGCTTCAAATCAAGATGAGCTTGAATCCAGACCCACAGGCACGAGTAGTACCCAACCGCATCGAGCTGTTTGATATGCCCAGTGAGCGCAATCGAAGTCGCTGGTACGGGTCCCTAACTGGAAAGGCTGCTGCATCTGGCAGCTATAGGTCGGTAGATCCAGCTCGTTGCAATTACATAGATCTGCTTGTCTCGAGTGCCCGATATGCGGCAGCAGAGTGGTTTCCTCACACGGGAGTGCCCAAGCGGGCACCTTCGGGATAGACTGCAGAGCGAAACAGACTATACTCAGCATAGGTGAATATCGGTTTTGACACAATCGCGAAAGCAACGTGCACGTCTCCGACCAACTCGCCGATGCAGTGCGCGGAGCTCAGATACCAATCCAAATATCCGTGACGGGAACATCACGAGGCATTGCGTGGAGGCTCAATGACGTTTTCCGAACCCATCGGAAGGGCCGCGCCATGAGAAAAGTGGTGTTGCGGCAAGATTCAAGTGATTCGCTCGCCGAGCCAAATTCAGCCAGAGGCCACAGTCGCACCAGGGCCTGCTGCGTTGCCACCACCGTCTCCTGCCTCCAACCGCGCTTTTTTAGCCCTTCGCTTCATCTCACGCTTGGACAGCGGTTTCTCAATCTCCTCAACGGCTGCCTCTGAGCCGAGAGATGCCTTCCTCTTCAGGTTGTCACCAGTCACTTGAGTCTGCGAGACATTCTTCTTAGACATGCCTTTCTGCCCCATTCCAGACTCCATATCTTGTGATTTTGACTTCTGTCCCCCGTCAACGACGTCAATGACCCCACGCCAGCTTGTGCGTTTCAATTTAGCTAGCGCAGTGACTTTTCTCGCTTCCTCGCTAATTGCCTCCTTGCCGAGTTCCTGTGACAAACCCCAGACACATGTCAGGTTGACGACATCCCATGGAGCCCTCACGCCCAGGGCCCTTCTTGCCTCACTTGACACCACGATTCCCCTTCCGCGTGTCGCGCGGATCAAGGACATAGCATTGCCGATGAGATTCCGACGAGCTTCAAGCCCGCTCCCTGTGACCCCAGGCCCGTAGCAAATTTCCAGTCGTACCCCTCGTTCGATAGCGGCGGAGAGCATTTTAAATTTAAAGTAAAACGGAAGTCTCACGGAGAGATCCAGAGAAATCAGGTCGCATTCGAGATTCGTGCATGCATTCAGGAGGGCTTTTTCATTGGTAGGGCGAAGCGCAACCAGGTCATACACCTGAGCTAAGCTTGCGAGGCGCTGATTCTGTGCGGGGTCGGACAACGTCAAGTTCACACGAGAAAGCAATTTCAAATTCTTGGGAGCATTCGTGGGTGCAGGTGGCGGGGCAAGGTTTGATGGAAGCTTCCCGCTGATAGTCTGTGAGAGAGCGACGGTTGTGTAACCGACTGGTAGTCAGGTCAGTTCCTCAGGTGGTCATTTTCAGCGTCGCGGAACGCCGCTTAGGTCTTGTGCCCGGGAAGAGTGACATACGCTCCGCAAGAAAGCTCAAAGTATCAGAGATCTCGGGATCATCCGAGGAGTAAGGAACGTTCAAATCGTAAAACATTGTGGAAGATTAAAAAGCCAAGTCCGAACCCGCTATCCTCCAACCAATCTTCTTCGTCACAAAACTTGCTTGCTCATAAGCTATCGAAGCTGCCAAAACTTATCTGCAAAAGGAAATCTAGAAACTATCCCGCATCAACGTTGCTCCGGCCCGAAAAGTGCGCTAGTCTTTATCGGGACGACTCCCCCAAAGTCTCGTCACGTGCCTGGGAAGGCGGAGCGAACGGCCCTCTCCATTCTCATCACCACCCAATATACAATCCCAGCCATCTTTAATTTGGACGATAGCACGGCTGCACTGTTTAGACAGGCCTGTATACTCCTAGTCTTGCAGTAGCTGTTGTCTGTCCTCCATCTCAATTCCTGGTTGCGACAATTTCTGTGTCGGGCTGCTCCTGTACCCCGCCGCCGCATTTTATCTCCCGTCCATTGTGGGCGCACTCGGAAGCTGCGAATCAGCCGCCATCACCATGGCGCGCGTCTATGCCGATGTTAACGAGCATATGCCTCGGTCCTACTGGGACTATGATAGTGTGAACATCTCCTGGGGGGTTTTGGAGAACTATGAAGTGGTCCGCAAGATCGGTGAGTGAGCAGATCCGGTCTATTCACCCAACGGGAGCCTTACCCTTATCGTGGATGACCTGTGCCACAACGATGTAGTTGCATTTGAAGGCTGACAATTGTTAATACAGGCCGGGGAAAGTACTCCGAAGTGTTCGAGGGCATCAATGTCGTCAACTACCAGAAGTGTGTCATCAAGGTCCTCAAACCGGTCAAGAAGAAGAAGATCAAGCGTGAGATCAAAATTCTCCAGAATCTGGCGGGTGGTCCGAACGTGGTAGCCCTGTTGGATGTGGTTCGTGACAGTCAGAGCAAGACGCCGAGTTTGGTTTTCGAATACGTCAACAACACAGACTTCCGGACCCTGTACCCTCGTTTCACCGACTACGATGTGCGCTTTTATGTGTATGAGCTTCTGAAGGCTCTGGATTTCTGCCACAGCAAAGGCATCATGCATCGGGATGTCAAGCCCCACAACGTCATGATTGACCATGAGAAGCGCAAGGTGAGTTCTATTGTGTACGCCCCATCGTAGTTCATTCGCTGACAAGGCACGTTAGCTACGGCTCATCGATTGGGGTCTTGCCGAGTTCTACCACAAAGGCACTGAATATAACGTCCGAGTCGCCTCACGCTACTTCAAAGGCCCTGAGCTGCTTGTTGATTTCCAGGAATACGATTACTCCCTGGACATGTGGTCCCTGGGCGCGATGTTTGCCTCCATGATCTTCCGCAAGGAGCCCTTTTTCCACGGCCAGAGCAACTCAGATCAACTGGTGAAGATCGCCAAGGTACTGGGAACCGAGGAGCTTTTTGAGTACTTGGATAAGTACGACATCGAGCTCGACCCTCAGTATGATGAAATACTCTCTCGCTACCCGAGAAAGCCCTGGCACTCTTTCATTAATGCCGACAACCAACGCTTCATCAGCGACGAAGCGATCGATTTCCTTGACAAACTCCTTCGTTATGATCATGCTGTAAGTCTCCCTCGTCTCGTTCAAACCTTATCAGTGTTGACCTGTCTTCGCTTTTTAGGAACGGCTTACAGCCCAGGAGGCCATGGCTCATCCCTACTTCGCCCCGGTTCGCGCAGCGGAGTCGCAGGCCGCTCGGAACAATGCGACGTCTCGATCGTGAAGCCAGGCGTTGCTGACCTGACTAATACTTCATACATTCAGGGATCTACCGAACCCTAACTCAGCACCTGCTGTGATTCAATTGCGTTCTTGAACACCGCCGGCTTGGTTCGAAGTTTTGAGTCAATATCTGGGTCCAAAGAGAGTGGTGACAATCAATCAACACAGGTGCAAACGGGATCCCACGGCGGCCACTCGCTGCCTCTTACTGGTATCACTTTACGCACCGTTTGTGCCATGTGCGATGGAATGCGGAACCAAACGATGATGACAGATGACCTACACCTAATATGTTGCCTGGGTATAGAGCCCATTTCACCTCAGTCTTGGCGTACAGCGCACTCCAATGTATCTGATGACCTGTTCGGACTGATTGATATTTTATATTTCACGTTCCATGCTCCTCACATCTTTTCTACATCTTCCTTGCCTGTTCAATTTCGTAAACTGCCTCGATGGTGTTGTGGGATTCGCCTTCTCCATTACCGATTCAGTTTATCTTATGCCACCACCCTCCTGTGTCTACCGTGCATCTGTGTCTTTAATGTCTTCCCGTTCTGGTCATGGAAAGGAGTGAGGGGGTCTTATTGGGGGCTTAATTGATTCTCTAAGCTGTCTCTTTTTGAAGTGGCGAAAGCATGCATTTCCAGATTTTGAGTATTGTTTGCCTTAATGTGCAACTTTCAATAGATCAAACCAATGTCATACTTGACCAGAGATGCTCGCTTTAAGGAGGAAAGTAGAAAGTAAGTAGAATTGCTGCTCGTGCTCAGGCCGAAATATATCACGTGATGTAAACTCGAATCCTCGCGTCTTCCCCTATCGATTAGCCGACTGAGTCAGTATCTCGAAGCAGAAGATCAAAGAATGCTTTTGACTCATACGTTCTCCGAGTAATATATTAGATCGATCATCCATGCTTTTTGGACATCAAATCGATCCCATACTTTAACTCAATCGTTCTCCACCGCCGGAGTCTTTTCTGGGCCCCGCAGTAACATCCTCTGATTCGTTCCGTTCTCTGCTCTGCGCCAGCGAAATTTAATGCCCGCATTTCGCACAACCACCTGCCCCTCCCCCTCCTTGTTCTTGTCCCGGTATTCAAGATACTTATCCGGCAATTTGTGGCGCGGTCGGCGCCTTGGAGATTGTTAACTCCTTCAATTTCTAAAACATACTCAAGGATGTCTCAGCCAACTCCCTCTCCGAACCCGG